GGTTCACTTACCCAAATCCCTTTCTTCAACACTCTTTTCTATCCTTTCCACTTATTTTCTTTTCTTTTTGCCCTCCGATCCATTTTCAACCGGTGATTTGCGGAATGCGAAATGGCGCATTTTTCCATTGTGTCGCTAGATTTTTGACTCTCTTTTCTCTTTCTTTGTTCACTGTTGGGTAACTCAACCGGTCGAATTCTCATTCATCCGAAAGTTGATATTCTGCTAGTACTATCACATGATTAGACTCCAAAAATGGCTACAAATTTATGTTAGCAGAGAAAGTTTATACTCGCAAGTCAGGTGAGAAAAGATTTTTGAAGAAAAGAAGAAATGAATTGGTGACAATCTTTAGATAAATCAAAATTTCGATAGTTTCTTGTTGAGTTATTTGTTTGAAGCATTGAATTGTAGCAAATTGAACAATTGTAGCAAAAGGTGTCAGCTTTGGCTTACAGTTATGCTTTGCCGGCCATCTATTGATCTGTTGATGCAATAGAATATCTGTAAAGTTCTACTTGTAGTATAAACTAAACATTTTCAAGTCTAAACTTGATGAATACTTGTTTATTATCTGTTTGATAAAGGATCTAGTTACACGTAGTGAAAAAGGTATCTATTTCGATTATGGGACATTTGATATGCGCCTCGCCCTTTGCCATTAGCAATCCAACTTTGCGCTTAAATATATTGGTGTTGGGCTGTCCAATGTCAATATTTTTAGTATCATTAGATGCGCCAAGTCTTTCTCTTTCGATTGGTACAAAAACTATTTCAATTGGAGAGCCCAAGATCAAGAAATTTAAGCTCAAAGTTAGATTGCCAATGGGAAAAGGGGCGGGGTGATTGTGGAACCTTTTATACGCGCCCCGCCCCTTTGCCGTTGGCAATCTAACTTTGAGCTTAAATTTCTTGATCTTGGGCTCTCCAATTGAAATAGTTTTTGTACCAATCGAAAGAGAAAGACTTGGCGCATTTAATGATACTAAAAATATTGACATTGGACAGCCCAACAACAAGATATTTGAGCTCAAAGTTGGATTGCTAATGGCAAAGGGGTCGGGCGCTAACAAATGTCCGATAACCATCAATTTGTCTACTTTCAAACCCGCTTTGGGCCAAGTTTGTACACTGAAAATTTCGAACTTTGAATGTTTCTTTTTCTTTTGTTTCTTTTTCTTCTGTCCGACCCTAAACATTCAACTAACTATTAGGTTGTCCAGTTATAAATGCGCGTTTTTAAGATAACAACTCTTTATTTTAAAACCAACAGTTTAACAGCTCAATCAACAATATATTCACCATTTGTTAACAATATTTGTTTCCATCTTCCATGCAAAGAATGAATTCCCTCCGCGTAAAAATTGGCTTGTTTTGAGGCAAAGAAGTCGGCTATCCATTTTTCGACCTCTTCAACTTCTTTGAACTTGTTTCCGGCCAAATGGTTTCGCATTGAGCGAAATAAATGGTAATCCGAAGGAGAAATATCCGGAGAATATGGCGGATGCGGGAGAGTTTCCCAGCCCAACTCTTCGAGTTTTTCCTGAACAATCTTTGCAACGTGTGGACGGGCGTTATCTCGAATAAACTTTATGATTGAAGGATCAAGGCCTTTTTGTAGCAATACATTGTTCACTCGTTCCAGTTGTTGTGCAAACGTTTCACCCGTGATTGTATGTCCAGGTTTAAGCAGCTCAAAATAAACAATGCCTTGGGAATTCCACCAGACAGTAAGCATTACTTTCTTTCCATGGAAGTCGGGGTTTGGTGTTGGTATTGGCTCCTCACCAGGTTCTAGCCATTGCCGTTTTCGTGTAGAATTATCATATTGAATCCATTTTTCATCGCAAGTAAGGATTTCATCGTAAAACCCAGTATTTTTTGCCAAACGAAGAAGAATACCCGCCATAGTGACACGAGTAGCTTTATTGGCATTGCTGAGAAGATGAGGAACCCATTTCCCTTGTCAGCTTGTTTTCCCCAATTGATTTAAATGCTCGGAAATTGTTTGAGGGCTTACTCTAAATATTTCTGCAAGTTCACGTGTAGTTTGTCGAGGATCCATTTCTATCGCCTGCTTCAGTACTGCATTATCGATCGCAAGAGGTCGTCGTTGGTGGTCTTCGTCTTCCAAAGATTCATTTCCTTCTCGAAATCGTTGAAACCATCGGCGACACTGGCTTTCTGAAATAGCATCTTCGCCAAATACTTTGCAGAGATCTCGATGAGATTCAACGGTATTTTTGCCCAATTTGAAGTCATACCAAAGACTGGCACGAAGACGAAACTTCGTCTCGGTCATCTAAACACGGAAATTAAATCAAAAATGAATTAGTTTAACGTCAAAAACACGAAAAGTTGTAATAAATAAGAAATCTTAGACAGCATATAGAGAATAGGGTTTGATTCAAATTGTATAGCCCTAAGGTACGCTGTTTAAGAGCAGGCGCGCATTCATAACTGGACAACCTAATAGATAGAAAAATCAAGTTTTCTTAGGAAATCTACAGCTTGGATTTGAAAGAATGAAAGTTTTAAAGCTTTTGGTGACTTCAAAACTTCGGAATTGAACTGAAAAAAGCCTTGGGTTCAATGCTGATCGATGAATTTAATTCTTTGCTATGTTGAAAGATAAAAAGAAGAGCTAAACACAGATATTGAGACTAGTTTTAGTAGTTTAGTTTAGAAATAGACAGTTTTAGTTAAAAGATTGGTAAAACTTGTTTTATTTTGGCTCACTTAAACCCAAAACAACTCATTTTTGCTCACTTTGATCACAAACTCGTTGTTGTTTGTAGATCGTTTAGGGCTTTTTCGCGAATTGCCAATTCAATTCAATTCATTTCAATTCTCCTCTGATCTTTTTTAAATCACCGCCCAGAATGTTTGGCCTTGAAGTCTAAGAAAAAAATGAACAAACTTACGTAAGATTTATTGGCTGGAACGAATTGGAAAAGAGAGAAGGGGAGGCTGGCTTCGAACACTAACCATTTCCCCGCTTTCCCTTTTGCATTCCCTTTTGAATCCTCTTTTCCCTTCGATTAACAACCGTTTCCGATTACTATCATCATTGGGGGCATTGAACTTGTGCTTTTTTTTGAAAAGAATAGTTAACGGGTGTTTTCACTGAAAGTTTTACGATTTCTCAAACATTCTTGGGCCTTTGATTCTTTTTTGAATAAGATTTATGCCAAATAGTGCTGAAGCCAAGTTTTCAATAGAGTTTTGATTGATTAAAGTGTTTTTGTTCGAGTTTTTGTTCATTTTTATCTTCAGGAGATTGAGGAGAGATTTTCAAGATGATTCAGGAGAGATTTTGCCTATTTTTTTTTGTAGAATTTTGGTTAATTTCTATGGAAACACGGATTTTAAAAGAGAATGCTGACAAAATTTTTGATGAATTCGATGAATTCAATAGATTCGATGATTTTCGATAAATGAAATCACATTCTTTAGTTGATTTCTTGATAAAATTGATTCTGTAATCTGTTGAAGGAGTACTTCGTTACTTTATTAATAAAAGAGTCCTCTATTACTCTATTTTGTAGGATTTTGTTTGATTTCTATGGAAAAGCTATAGAAACTAATCAAGAAAGAATATCTTTACGGCAGTTAGTTACCGTAAATACTGTTATAGTACCCCACCGCCCTCGTACAGTCGCGTAGTCGCGTAGCGACAACCATTAGACTCACCCCTATCAGCTTTGTGACTCGTTTATGCTGTTTACCATGTTTACCATGTTTGCCGAGTTTAGTTATACGCTTTAAATGTTTTCAAGACTGTTTCCAAGCTTTTATCTTCTCTAGTTTCTTTGATAAAACTTATAAACAGTGCTTACAGTAGAGATTTTAACGCATAGTCTTTTCTTTAGTTTCTTTTGCATACCGTAAATACTGTAATAGTACCCCACCGCCCTCGTACAGTCGCGTAGTCGCGTAGTTTTTAGTATTTTATTTTTTTCAAAGCACCAGTACTCTCAAAAAATGCGTCTTTGGTATCAAAAAATAGCCCTGAATTTCAGCTATTTTTTGATACCTTTGTGCGCATTGTAGCATAAACCAGTGTCGAGAAAAACTCGTTCAAAGCTCGACTACGCAACACTCCGCACCGTCATTATGGGGGTGGGGACTATTACAGTATTTACGGTAGGCAATCTGAAATCTAATTATCGATTAGATTAGCTATCTAATTATCGAATTAGATAGCTAATCTATCAAAATTATCTAATTATCTATTTAATTATCAAAACAATAGCATGAATATTTTCCTTATTTTCCAATAAACTTTCGATTCTAGTCTTTTTGCTTTCTTATTGGCCCTCTGTTGGTCAAGGTGTCCGGAAGCGTCTTCCGGCCTCTCCCCTTTCCATTCTTCCCCATTTTCCCCGATTCCTAGATTTGCACATCGTTGGACGTCTTTTGAAGAGAAATCTTCTCGTTTCCTTTCATTCTTTCTTTTCCTTTCTTTCTTTTTCATTTCCTTTCCTTTTCTTTTTTCACACCTTCCAAAAACCCTCATTTTTGATGGCTCATCAGACTTTTCTTTCTTCATGAACAGTTGTTAAGGATTTGATCTCTTTGTCTAGTTTTATCAATGTCGGTATCAGTCATAGTATCAGTACCAGAATCAGTAATATAATCAGTACTAGAATCAGTACTAGAATCAGTACCAGAATCAGTACCAGAATCAGTACCGGAATCAGTACCGGAATCAGTACCAGAATCAGTACCAGAATCAGTTAAGAAACAAAGCTTTTGCCTGCTTACAAAGCCAAAATTGAGTCTGCAACATTCTACAATACTTGGCATGAATTCAGTCTTTCTTGTCAGCAAATCATTATACTTTCTTTATCAATCAATACTCAAGAAATGCAGTCAAGAATGATCTCTTCATTTCCTTTTCTCTTCTTTTCTTTTTTTTTCGACCCATTTCATGTCTCATTTTCAGCACTGGCGTCTCAGTCTCAGCAGGCGTCCGTCCCTCAGAGGAGCGCCGACTGATGCCCCCACCTCCACTCCCTCCACCAAACAGACTCAATGAGCACGCCAGGTTCACTATAGCTACGTATGCAAAGCTAAAGTAGTTTATAAGGAAATTGATTGTTTGTAGTATTTTTTAAATTTTACATCCTTTCACCCATTTCATATAAAAAGGGTGGCTGAAAAATTCGGACACCCTATAAAACAGTTCTTTTTGAAAGAAAATATTGAGAAACTTTTAAAAACTATATAGATTTTCAGATTCTCCGCATATTTTTACATTATAAACCAGATTTTGCGCTTACTAGCTTTATTCGGAAAAATTTTACATTAATTTGGGTGCACGCGACAAAATGGGTGCCGTTCCTTTTCTTCTTGTTGCCCATAAAATTTTTCCGAATAAAGCTAGTAAGCTGAAAATCTGGTTTATAATGTAAAAATATGTGGAGAATCTGAAAATCAATATAGTTTTTAAAAGTTTCTCAATATTTCCTATTAAAAAGAACTGTTTTATAGGGTATCCGAATTTTTCAGCCACCATAAGTTGATCAGCTTTATTCATCTGCATCAAATAGAATTTAAAACAAAAAAAGACTTGATTGGACTTGTGGGAACTCGAACTCGTTCAAAATTTGCTAGAAATGAAGCTTTCTTTGTTTATAAGTGCTCCTTTTCAGAGCGAACGTGGCGACGGCGCCGAAAAAGCGCAAGCCTCGGCAAGAGATCTCGGCTTGTTTAAAATGGATCTCCTTTATGTTCAACTTTCTATTCGTGGTAAGCAAAAGTTTATCGAGATTTTAGAAACGTAAACTCTTGTAAAATTGTAGAATTTAAAGTAAATTTATTTGTTTTTTCATTTTTTCAGTGGGTCGGAGTCTCATTGCTCGCGCTTGGGATCTACCTTCACGTGAAGGACCCGAGACCAATCGTTGAATGGATCGACATCGTTCTCAATCCCGCCATTTTCATTGCTCTTCTAGGTATGGATTTAATAACTAGAGGATCTTGATGATTCGAAACCAAAAACGGAATGATTTTCTTTCTAGGTTTTCTCGTTGGTTTTATCTCTTTACTTGGAGCTCTCGGTGCTCTTCGAGACAATATTTCTTTGCTCAAAATCGTGAGTTCTTAAAGTTAAAGTTTAAAGTTAAAGTTTAAGGTTAAAGTTTAAAGTTTAAGTTTAAGGTTGCCGTTTAAAGTTAAACTTTTAAGTTACCGTTTAAGGTTACCGTTTAAAGTTACCGTTTAAGGTTAAAGTTTAAGTTTTAAGTTTAAGGTTAAAGTTTAAAGTTACCGTTTAAGGTTAAAGTTTAAAGTTACAGTTTAAGGTTAAAGTTTAAGGTTGCCGTTTAAAGTTACCGTTTAAGGTTAAAGTTTAAGGTTAAAGTCTAAAGTTACAGTTTAAGGTTAAAGTTTAAAGTTACCGTTTAAGGTTAAAGTTTAAAGTTACCGTTTAAGGTTAAAGTTTAAAGTTACCGTTTAAGGTTAAAGTTTAAAGTTACCGTTTAAGGTTAAAGTTTAAAGTTACCGTTTAAGGTTAAAGTTTAAAGTTACCGTTTAAGGTTAAAGTTTAAAGTTACCGTTTAAGGTTGCCGTTTAAAGTTACCGTTTAAAGTTAAAGTCTAAAGTTAAAGTTTAAAGTTAAAGTTTAAAGTTTAAGGTTACCGTTTAAGGTTACCGTTTAAGGTTACCGTTTAAGGTTGCCGTTTAAAGTTACCGTTTAAGGTTAAAGTTTAAAGTTACCGTTTAAAGTTAAAGTCTAAAGTTACAGTTTAAGGTTAAAGTTTAAAGTTACCGTTTAAGGTTAAAGTTTAAAGTTACCGTTTAAAGTTAAAGTTTAAAGTTACCGTTAAAGTTCAAATCCGTTTATATTCCTTAAATTCAATGGTTCAAATGATTTTCAAAATTTCAATCAATTTCAGTTTGCCATTTGCGTCTTCTTCTGCTATATTTGCATTGTGGTGCTTACTTTTGGAACTTTCGTTCTTTTCTTCACCGACACGTGAGTAAAACAAGTAGAAAAAACAAGAAAAAGACAAAATAGAATAAGATTTTCAAAAACACAAACGATTCTAGATCTGACGGTGTTTCTGCTCATTCGATCATGATGCAATCGGTGAAGAAATACCATTCTAATAGAAATCTTGCCGATTTTGTCGACTATGTGCAAGAGCAGGTTCATTTTTTTAAAGGTTTTGTGAAAATTTAAAGATTTAAGTGTGCCAAGAAAGATGTGCTTACATTTTTAAAGCAAAAAAAGCAAAAAAAAACATTTCGCTTCTCAATTTAATCTTAATTGAGCTTTCATGAGGCGTAGAAATTGACCCAGACTTTCAATTTTCATTCTCATTCTCATTCTCATTTCATTCGTTCACTCATTCATTCATTCATTCATTCAGATGGAATGTTGTGGTGTCTCGTCGATCTCAGCCGGTTATCGAGATTGGGCTTTGTCTCCACAGTTCAATTGCACTCCCTCGAATCCATATCCGGAAAAATGTGGAGTCCCGTTTTCCTGTTGCCGCAAATCGGTCATCTCAGAAGCGGTTGGTTATTAGAATAGAGATGAATGGCAGAATTTGGAACTGGAGATTAAACTCTTGGCCTTCTGCTTACTTCTGATGGTAGATTCTCTAGATCCTTCTGGTGGTAGATCCTCTAGATCCTTCTGGTGGTAGATCCTCTAGATCCTTCTGATGGTAGATCCTCTAGATCCTTCTGATGGTAGATCCTCTAGATCCTTCTGGTGGTAGATCCTCTAGATCCTTCTGGTGGTAGATCCCTCTACCCACTATCGTTCTTTCTTTGCCCAGGAAGAAATAGGAAAGACAAGGAAGAAAGAAGAAAGAGAGGAAAATACCCGGGTTTTAAAAAGATGTTTCTTAGGCAATGAAAAGCATTAATTGTGACTTTTTAAGGTTTTGGATCAAAAGATTTTCATGTGATACGAAATTTGATTTGTTTAACACACTTACCATGGTTTTTTTTTGGTAAACTGAGCCGGGTAGCCGCTCTAAAGCGTGCCCCAGTGATGAGATCTACTACAATGTTATCTGCTGTGAGTCAGTGTTTGGAAAAGAACTGCTACAAGTCAAAATATATACATGTATTTGAATACATTGGTTCCTAACTTGTATGTAAATTATGCAGAGCTTCCACGCCAAAATAGTCCAACTAACTACAAGATTTGAGTTAATCAAAATCAACACCAATCCTTGAGTACAACGCCAATCAACACCAATCCTTTATAATATATTTCCAGGCTGGATCGACAAATCCCCTTCAACCAGCGATGAGATCATTGGAATGTTGGAGAAACGCGTTGACTAAAGTGTGCTTTTGGGCGGATTTTCTAAGGAAACATTGACTTATATAGAACAAGCCTCTGGGCATAAAGAGCCTAGATAAAAATATTGAGCACAGGGTCAATTTTGATCCGATTTCCCAGAAAACCATTTTGCTTTAGTACAAAGAATAATGCTAAGCTAAATCAGCTAAATCAGCTTTTGTAGGATCATTTGTACGGGATTATTAGTGTGTTTTCTTTATGCAGTAAGAGTTAGGATCAAAATGTTAACTACAATTTCTCAGTTATTACTAGCAATAGAGCTAACATTGAGAGATCAAAATCGTGAAAGAAATCAGTACAAGATATTCATCAATTCCTTACAAATTTCTTATTAAGCCTGAGCCTAAGCCTGAGCCTAAGCCTAAGCCATCAGTACAACTCACCGGTGGGCCGGATTGTCTAAAGAAAGCTTTTCTAATGAAACAACTCATAGAAATATAATAGAAATTAGAAATTTCAAAGAAATCAGTACAAGATATTCATTAATTTCTTACAAATTTCTTATTAAGCCTGAGCCTGAGCCTAAGCCTAAGTCTAAAACCTAAGCCTAAGCCTAAGCCATCAGTACAACTCACCGGTGGGCCGGATCGTCTAAAGAAAGCTTTTCTAATGAAACAACTCATAGAAATATAATAGAAATTGCAAATTTGAAAGAAATCAGTACTAGATATTCATCAATTTCTTACAAATGTTTAACTCTTTTTTTTCCAGAGACCTCCCGATATCGAAGCCGATATCCACACTCGAGGCTGCGTTCAACCATTGAGAACCCTCTTTGAGACTCACGCCGTTCATATTGGCGCCGTTGTCGCAGTGATTCTTCTTCCTGTGGTGCGTTTAGATTATTGGCTTTGAATCTAACTTTCAAAAACTCAGAAAAGAATAGCAAGATCGTTTGTATTGATGTAAAGCAAACTCGTGAACTCTAAAGATGCTCTTAGATGCTCTTAGATGCTCTTAGATGCTCTAAAGCGTGTCGCAACTACCATAATCTTCTGCTCAGCATACAGATCATTTATAGAGAACTATAGCTCTATATCATGACATGAAATAAGGATTACGGTAGCCGGGTCACATTTTAAAGTGCCTATTCGAGTAAAGGCTGCAAGGAAACCCTCGCCAGTAGCAAAGTCACAGTCTTAAAGATCGTACACGATCTAGTTACTGTTCTTAATCGTAATCAAATCTCAAGTACAATAATTATATAATTTTAGTCATTGTCTGTCTGTCTCACGAACATTCTCGCTCGTCAAATCGATCATCAACGATTTTTGCTCGAACGAGAAGCACGACGAAATGAGCGACGAGTGAAGAGAGATCGACGAGATAGAAGAAAACAATCGAGAGATCCATTCACCAGCCTCGAAGAGGGAATTTATCCACAGGTACAGATTTGATCACTTTGAACTTTAGCTTAATCCAGAACTATCCAAGAAATCTCGAGAATCTTGTGTGCCCATTGGCTTATAGGGATTTGAAAAATTCTAAGTTTTACGTAAATTCTAGATCTAATTCTAGCTTTTAAAAGTTTGATCAGCTTTTAATCTAAAGCTAGAATTTTAATCGAAAAGCTTAGATTAAAAGCTAAAATCAGAATTGGACTTCAAATCTAAAAGTCTAGATTAAAAGCTAAAATTTAGAACCAGAATTCGTAGAAATTCGTAGAAAGCAAGGAAACCCTCGCCAATAGCAAAGTCACAGTCTTAAAGATAACACACGATCTCGTTACTATTCTTAATCGTCAAATCTCAAGCACAATAGTTATATAATTTAAAGCTTACAGCTACGAGCGGAGTTTATCGCGTGACTTTGCCTTACTTTAGTAGCCTTAGTCAGTAAAGAAATTTGTTAATGTGTGCATAAAGTACAAAGAATCAATTTTTGAAGAACAACAAAGCATTTCAGGGAGAGATGGTACCTCCGTTGCCTAAAACCTCGCCTCCAACTCGACCACCAGAAGGACATCGAAAACACCGAGCACAAAGCAATTCGCCTACACGAAAAGTCTCAGCAAACGGCGTGCCAACAAAGGTAAATTTAAATTTAAAGTGATTTTAATTGAAAGGTAAATTTAAGCTAACGAAATTTAAGCCCTAATTTGCAAGTTTAGTCCATAAAAAGGTATGTAAAGTTAACTCTGTACAGCCTCTGACTCTGGCATACAAGCCCTAGGGAACTCTGACTCTGGCTTACAAGCCCTAGGGAACTCTGACTCTGGTTTGCAAACCCTAGGGAACCCTGACTCTGGCGTACAAGCCCTAAGGAACTCTGACTCTGGTTTACAAACCCTAGGGAACTCTGACTCTGGCGTACAAGCCCTAGGGAACTCTGACTCTGGCTTACAAGCCCTAGGGAACTCTGACTCTGGTTTACAAACCCTAGGGAACCCTGACTTTGGCGTACAAGCCCTAGGGAACTCTAACTCTGGCGTACAAGCCCTAGGGAACTCTGACTTTGGCGTACAAGCCCTAGGGAACTCTGACTCTGGTTTACAAACCCTAGGGAACCCTGACTTTGGCGTACAAGCCCTAGGGAACTCTGACTCTGGCATACAAGCCCTAGGGAACTCTGACTCTGGTTTACAAACCCTAGGGAACCCTGACTTTGGCGTACAAGCCCTAGGGAACTCTGACTCTGGCGTACAAGCTCTAGAAACAATTTGGAACATTCTTGCTTCTGGTAAAAGAAAGTATAATAGTCTTAATTTCTAATACTATTTTTTAGACAATTTGCCAATTTATAGTATCTTTAGTTAGCTTAGAATAGATCCAGACAACTTGCTTTTTGTAAAATTTTGGATTTCTTTGACTCTCAAATGCCAAACCTTTGACTTTTCCATGCAAAGAAATCTTTGAGATATAAGCCGGTCAAATTTGACGCCATTTTTCTCTATGTTCTTACAAATGAGTATGCAAAACAAACTGCACTTTTCTGTAGCCAAATTTGATGGGGATTATTTCAAAACCAACCGTAAGTCGGTCCAATGCTTGTACGTCGAGATATAAAGCAAAGGGCAATCATACCTCATATTTGTTCAATCTCTAAACAAAAATGACGTCGTTTTGCCCTTTGCTCGTTTAAAGAAACTCTTTTGAGCCATCCCAACTAAAATGATTTCATTATAATGATCGTTTCTTAATAAGGATTTCGATCCAATTCTCCGAATAACTTTTTTAGTAGCTTGAACTCGGATTTCTACCTGAAATATCGGATAATCAACTCGTAAATCTTCTTACAGAATTTTTTACCTTGCAAAGAATAAAAAGTATTTTGTGAAGCTTTTATAAATAGATTTAGAAAGATATTTGTCAGCAAAGTGATGAGAAATAGCTTTGAAAAGATCAACAACTTTTTTGGTGAAAAATAGACAAGACAAAAGATACTAAAGAGTCTAGTTTTAGTGGAGAACTCAATTTTAGGTTCTAAATGAGTTCAGGATTCGGCTCTAGTCCATTACAGGAGACTTTTGAAGTAAAAAGGGACTTTGAATGAGCAGTTACACTTTGAAGATCACTTTGAAGGTCACTTTGAAGGTTCATAACTAGTTCTAATTGGTAGACTCAAGAGCGACTGAGCCGGCTTCACGGCTTTAGGTTCATAGCTAGTTCTAATTGGTGGACTCAAGAGTGACTGAGCCGGCTTCACGGCTTTAGGTTCATAGCTAGTTCTAATTGGTAGACTCAAGAGCGACTGAGCCGCTTAACGGCTTTAGCTATGCCCAAATTTCTGGAATCAAGTTTTGCCTTCAACTTGGCTGTTTCTTTTACAAATTATAGCCAAGTAGCCTTAGCCGAAGCTTCAACCGTTCAACCGGAGTTCAAAATTTTCCATTTATTCCTGAAGCCTTCTTTTTTCAGTTCCTTTTTGTTTTTGTTTTCTTTTCAAAAATCTCTGCATTATTTGATTAGATTCAAATTCAAAATCATTCTTTTACTTAAACAACAACCAAACTGACTAATAGTGAGTCAATAATAAGAATAAGAATAAGAATAAGAATAAGAATGAGAATAAGAATAAGAGTAAGAATAAGCATAAGAGTAAGAATAAGAATAAGAATAAGAATAAGAATAGGAATAAGAATAAGAATAGGAATAAGAATAAGAATAAGAATAAGAATAAGAATAAGAATAAGAATAAGAATAAGAATAAGAATAAGAATAAGAATAAGAATAAGAATAAGAATAAGAATAAGAATAAGAATAAGAATAAGAATAGGAATAAGAATAGGAATAAGAATAAGAATAAGAATAAGAATAAGAATAAGAATAGGAATAAGAATAAGAATAAGAATAGGAATAGGAATAGGAATAAGAATAGGAATAAGAATAAGGATAGGAATAAGAATAAGGATAAGAATAAAACAAAGACCATAAGAAGACGCTTCTAAACTGATTGTGAGAGAGGCAGAGGAAAAAGTGATTTCAACAAGCTTAATCTAAATAAATCATCACTTCAGATCCCACCCCCGCCTGGCGCTCAAGTTAAACGAGTGAAAGACAAGCGACGCAAGAGTCAACCGCCAACAATGAACGCTCCCGGGCCACAGGAGAGAACCCGGCAATGGATTCTCCAACAGACCGACATCGTCAACCCAAACCCCGATCCATCGAAACTCCCTCAACCAAGTGCTCCGCCTCTAGTCCCCAATTCTAGTAAACCGAATGTCTAATCAGATTCCAATGAAATCAAATCGATTTGATGCTTACATTTTGAAACTTGTCATTAATTGTTCTTACCAAAAAGTAACAGCTTCAAGTGTTTCAAAAATGTCCAACCATCTAACCAACCTTTGCCCAAGGTTAATTAGAAGTGGAAAAGTTATTGGATCACTGTTTTAATGATTGATACTGCTTCATAAGCTTAAAAATCCGATAAAGAAAGAAGTTTGACATTAAAATCGAAAATCAAATCAAATAAATGATATGAAGTACTTCAAAAAATCGCTTCAAAAAGTTATAAGTCTAAGAAAAACGGTTTCATTTGTATAAAAATTGATTCAAATCATCATTTGCAAGTTTATTTCTGATCTAAATCATTATAAACATTATAAATTATTATAAACTTTCATTATTATTCACTTAATTGATACAACGTTTTGCTAAAAGAGCCTATTTTATAAAAAGCCTATTAACTAGCGTAATTCAAACTCAAATTTCATTCGATCAACTCAATTTTGGTGAATTTGCGATGAGACAAATCGATCATTTCGATGAGACAAAGCTCAGTAAATGATACTAAAATTCCACTGATCAAATAAAACTCATTGATTACGTTAGGTAAAATAAAAAATAAATGCTTTTTAAAATAGATGCTTTTTGGCAACAATTTTATCAACTTTTCACTTATTTCCCCACTTTCGCCCCTTCAATTCACCAAATCGTTCTCTAAAAGTTCTTTCAAAAGCGAAATCACTTTCTCACAGAAGCCTAACCATAAAAAAAACCCTTAAAATCATGTAAATCATGTAAATCATGTAAATTACCATAAAATGTAAACAAATCTCTTGTATTTTAAATATCTTGTACCCAAAAGTTATCAGAAATTTATCAGAAATTGACAATTTACCCCCAGCTCATCCGGCAGCAGTTCATCGATTTTTCTTCAATTATTTCTTTGTCTGTTTTGCTGATTCTTTCGTTTTTCAATTTGTCCTCATTCTCGGGTTGAATAAATGCCACGTTTTTCATCGATTTTCATCGATTTCTTCCAAATTCAAATAACAAAACATTTATTTAGGGCTAATTTTGCGAAATGTGACTGAGTGTTTTATGTACAAAAGAAGCGAAACGCATCACGCACATTGCAGGCTTTGGAGACAAATTTCTGAAAAGTACAGAGTTTTGATTGTGCTTTAAATGCAATGCAATGTTGAAATTTGATTCGGGATTGTACTTAATTTTAAAATTATTCTATTAGAAATTGTGCTTATTAGGGCGTCGGGCTTTGAGTGCGTTTTGAGTGCGAATTTTTCGCGAAAATCTTTTTCCAAGAGAACGAAACTATGAGAATTTCTCCGGTTTGTCCCATTAGAAGGGTAAATTTGGGTTCTACATTGGACTTATCAGTAATTTTGAAAAGCTTTAGTTTTCGCTATTTTTCAGCGATCCAAAGACAAGTAGTCAAAATCGTCAAAAATCGAAACTCGCCGATAACTACCTAATCGATTGTGGAATCGTTTTGGAGTGTTTTTTTTACTCAAAACTTTTGAACAACTCTCTTTTGCATATGTCAGCAAATTTTCAGCCAAATTCGTTCAGCCTTTTCAGCAATTTCGTTTTCAGAATGTTTGCTTGAAGAATGGATTTAAAAAATAAGGATATTTGAGAGACTTTTTGAACGAATTTGAAACCTTTAGAAAAAAGATTTGGCTGGACGGATTTGGCTGAAAATTTGATTAAAAATGTATAAGTGTTTGGCCTTTCATTTGGATCGATCGATCGATCGAGGATCGATCATCCCGAGGAGACCGTCCAGGCCACCACCACGAGCGAGTCAAGGACAAATCGGTGAGTTGGGGAATTCGGGACTAATCTGCTCAATGTTTTCGTCGTTTTACTCAATTTTCAAAGCCTTTAAGTGTGTAAAATCGGTTAGTAAAGCCAGAAAAAAAGGAAAATTTCAGTGGAAAGTATCAGTTGTGAATTCGTCAGCTTCGGTTTTCATGTTCTACCTCTTTTCTAATCATTCTACTGTTCTAACCATTCTTAGAACGAAAAAATTGAACTCAAAAAGGTTTTGCTTTGTTTAATTAGTCCAATTAACTTCTTTTATTAACAATTTTTTAATTAATTATTTTATTAAGCTACCTAAAGGTGATTTAGTTTTTCGGTACCTTTGGGGGCACTATATTTCTTCCAAAACCACTTTTTCTAGCCTAGTTTTTTGTATAGAATCCGAATTTTGATACTTTACCTTTCTACCTCCCTTCTACCTCTTCATTTTGTGGCATTTTTGGTGAAATATTGAGCCAAAGAGTTAGTATTAGGTTGGCGGATTTGGAATGCGAATTTTTAGCAAAAATCTTTTTCCAAGAGAACGAAACTATGAGAATTTCTCGGGTTTGTCCCATTAGAAGGGTAAATTTGTGTTCTACATTGGACTTATCAGCGATTTTGCCTCAGCTTCTGTTTTGGCTATTTTTCAGCGATCCTTTGACAAGTAGTCAAAATCGTCAAAAATCGAAACTCGCCAACAACTACCTAATCGATTGTGGAATGGATTTTGGAGTGTTTTTTTTTACTCAACCTTTTGAACAACTCTCTTTTGCATATGTCAGCAAATTTTCAGCCAAAAATTTGATTAAAAATGTATAAGTGTTTGGCCTTTCATTTGGATCGATCGATCGATCGAGGATCGATCATCCCGAGGAGACCGTCCAGGCCACCGCCACGAGCGAGTCAAGGACAAATCGGTGAGTTGGGGAATTCGGGACTAATCTGATCAATGTTTTCGTCGTTTTACTCAATTTTCAAAGCCTTTAAGTGTGCAAAATCAGTTAGTAAAGCCAGAAAAAAGGAAAGATTTGGCTGCACGGATTTGGCTGGAAATTTGAGTGAAAATGTAACAATGTTTGGGCTTTCATTTGAGCAAAAAATTAGTGCTAACTTTCTACCGAAAAAGTTGCCAACTAAACGATTTTTAACGATTTTGACTACTTGTCTTTGGATCGCTGAAAAATTGTCAAAACTGACGCTTTTCAACGCTGAAAAACCTAATTTATTAGGTTGATGCAAAAGTCTTTTTCATTTTTTTCGTCTGCCGTTTCAAGCCAACAAATGCACCAATTAAACTACGGTTGATTTCATTAGAAAAAGCAATTATTTTTCTGCAAAATAACATTAAAACGGGTTTAAAAATATTTAATGCCTGGATTTTCTTGAGAGTATGAAGTCGGGTAGTCAAAAAGGGCTAACTCGATGATGCGGTTTAGACACCTTAGCTAAAGAAAACCTATCTTCGTGTCAATAGATAAAAGATAGAGAAAAAAAACGTTTGATATTTCGCCAAAATTTCAGAGAAATTCATTCAGCCAATTTTTCCGTAGAGTTTTTTATAGATTTTTACGAAAAAGGCGTTTTTCACTCTCGAATTTGCTTGAAAGTCAACCGAAATTCATTTAAAAAGATGCAAATTGAACAAAAAAACACTTTTTTTATAGAGCAAACTATAGATTAATTGGTGAATTTGTTACTTTTTAACAGAAGTACGAAAAAATGAAAAAAGACTTTTGCATCAACCTAATAGAACACAGATTTACCTTTCTTAATGTTAATAGCTTCGTGCTCTTGAAAAACAAAACCAGAAGGACATCGAAAACACCGAGCACAAAGCAATTCGCCTACACGAAAAGTCTCAGCAAACGGCGTGCCAACAAAGGTAAATTTGAATTTAATTTAAAAGTTAATTTATTCGCAAGTAAAATTCGCATTTAAAACCCGACAAACTGATAATAAAAATTGAGGAAATATAAAAGAAAAACTCACCACTTGTACAGCAAAAAGCGGAAGCCAGACAGAAAGCGGTCAAGTGACCAATCTGAAAGAGTTTGATTGAAATGTTTGATTTTAAATAAACATTTTCAGAAGTATAGTTCATTTTTCGTTTATATACAAGACGTTTTTCTTGATTTCAATTCTTTATTTCAATTCTTTATTTGAATATTTCATTATTAGTATTCTTTATTTGAATAGATTTTTGCTACAGTCATCTTGTAAGGCTGTACCGGGTAAAAAGTCTCAATCTGCTCTTGGAAAATTCTTCTAACTTGCAGCACTTATGGGATTCTTACTGGGAAATGTTGTCAAGTCAAGATCAAGTTTTCCCATAAGCTCTGGCTCATCTGATAGAGTTTTCGTCGAGGATTCTGAATCCAAAAACTGCCGAAAGCCGAAAACTTTTCAAACAGTCATATTTTAAGTTCTGGTACTTTAACAATCAAGTACTACATATTTACCAAGGGAAATGATTCGATTTTTTGAAAAATGCTAACTTAAAAGAAAGAAAGGTTTAGATTTTGTGTAATTGAAACTGCTTTGATGGTTCTTCATATAAAAATTCCATTAAATTTAATGCAAATTGTTGAAATGAAATCCAATCTACTCACTTTACAATATTTCTCCGGACAAACGGCATTCGGCGTGCATTTTGTATCAGCAAAACACTCGTCATGTGTGCAACAATGACCCACTGTTGCACAGATTCCATCGTTGTTTTTGCCTGAATAGCTTTTGATAGGTTTTAAGAATAGAACATTTTTTGGATTTAGTGTAACTACTTCAAAGTTTAACAGTTAAAAAGTTTAATAAACTTATAGTAAGTGCCAAAGATTCCAGCTTCTATATGTTATGTCTGATCTCATCTAGAATCTAGAATCTGATCCAGAAGCTGATCTAGAATCTGATCTAGAATCTGATCTAGAATCTGATCTAGAATCTGATCTAGAACCTGACCTAGGACCTGACCTAGAATCTGATCTAGAATCTGATCTAGAATCTAATCTAGAATCTGATCTAGAACCTGATCCAGAATCAGATCTAGAACTTGATCTAAAATCTGATCTAAAATCTGATCTAAAATCTGATCTAGAATCTGATCTAAAATCTGATCTAGAATCTGATCTAGAATCTGATCTAGAAATCCCTCGGATCTAGACTAATTCTAGATCGAATGTAACATATATACTCCAAATATTGTAAATATTTTCTTCCTCTCTTTCTTCTTCCTTGTCTTTCCCATTTCTTCTTGGGGAAAGAAGGCGCTGATAGCTCAGTGGTAAAGCATCTAAGGTAGCAGAAGGTCGAGAGTTGGATTCCAAATTCTTTCTGATCGATTTTATTACAATGTATTTTCTTAAAACCAAAGACCAAGGTTAGATCTAAAATTAAAGATCTAAAGGTCAGATCTAAAGATCTAAAATTCTGGAAGTGATGCTAGCGAAACCAATAAAAAGTTAAACAACTTTAATCTACCAAGAATATTAAATCAAAAAAAGTTCTCGGAAAGCTCGGATAGACTTTTTTTCATGTTCTGACAGAAAATGATGTGCCGAAAAGTTGAAATCGACTCCCACGTTTTGCTTTGCATTTTGAATTCGCCGCAACGAATCGAAACAACGAAACTTTAACAAAATACTCACCACATGTCGAGCATCGAACATTTCGACCATATCTTCGGTATGGACACGAGTTCAAGAAACATCCGCTTACACAGCTCAACGAGATGATCAATAGGAGGAAATAGGAGCAGACCTGAAGGTTTTATGATGACTGGGGACTTGGGATTTATGCATCTGATAGTGACTTTTAGATCAAACAAGAGCTGCTAGCTGCTAAACAACAAGAGCTGCTAGGCGTTAAACAACAAGAGCTGCTAGCTGTTAAACAACAAGAGCTGCTAGCTGTTAAACAACAAGAGCTGCTAGCCGTTAAACAACAAGAGCTGCTAGCTGCCAATTCTAGTCTATCAAGACAAGCATATAGGGCTAAAAAAGAGATCGAATCTTTTCTATCTGCTTTGAAGATTACTGTGCTGCTGAAATTCCAACCCGAACCTAATTCCATCTTTGTTTTCTCAGCCGTCTCTTGGCCGATTTTTCTGAAATTTTGTTTACAAATAGAAATTGACATTCTCTGCTTGTAGAGAAAATTTCAAAGCAATCGGCTAAAAGACGGCTGGGAAAACGAAGGTGGAAATAGGTTCGGGTTGGAATTTTCCCCATGTCAGATATGTTATCAGATCAGATCAAATCCTATCCGATAGAGAGAGAGAGTGATCGGATCGGTTTACTGTTTACTGCGGACTCTTCTATACTTACGAACCTTGTATAATTGTTATGTCTTATTGAAGAGACAACGCATTGAAGACTTGCTGGAGAACGAATTGATGTTGGAGCTACTGCTAGTTGATGTTCTCCTTACAAGTCAATGTCAAGTCAAGTCTTTACTCGAAATTCGGAATTCGGAATTCGAAATGAAATTATGTGATGCAAAATCATTGATATTTCTTTAATTTTACGTCATAATGAAAAATTCGCTCTCAAGTTTTTCTAAAAGTCATCTGGTTATGAGTCAGTTTTGAGTTAGAGAATTCGATTTTGAGTTTCGATCATCTCCTGGAAGTTAGAGAATTTTGAGAACTGAGAACTAGAAGTACAAAAGAATGAGACCACAAATTGTAGTCTTTTCTTGTTAAATTTCTGATTCTAACTAGTAGATTGATTAAGATCAAAACTGGTTTAAAGATGCGAAATGAATTAGGAAACAAAGTAGAGAGTCGATAATAGAGTTTGGAGAGTAGATAATAGAATTAGGAGAGTAAATAATAGAATTAGGAGAGTGGATAATAGAATTAGAATAGTAGATAAGTTCTAAACAATCTAGGATGTCTCTAGGTTGTCAGAGAGAAACTAAAAAGACAGAAAACTAAAAGTTACCTGTGTAAAAGTAAAGGTTACCTGTGTAAAAGTCGTCATTATGTTGAGAAGAGTCTGCCTCAATAACGATGACCGATGTTCAACACAAAGAAGCGGTTCAATTGAATTGATTCGTCGGCGAAAGATGCAACGGTGAAAGAGACCAAAATCAGCACCAAAAAACTTCTCCTCAATCTTCAAAAGAAAAGGGGAGGTCCTTGGTGAAGGCAACTCTTCTGTCGCCTCGAATCTCTCGCCTTTCCTCACCTCTAAACCACTTATCATTCCATGGATACAAAGCTGGGATCAACAAAATTCATCTCAAAATTTGGATCATCTTATTTTGCAAGAGAGATTTGTAAGATTTGAAGAATTTTTGAAAGCTTTGAAAGCTTTGAAAGCATTTCTTTGAAATTTTGACCTGAAAGAGCTGAGAATTGAAAACACTTGGAATTTTACAATTTTCGGAGAGCTCATAAATAGAATTGCAAGTTGTGGAAATTGGGAAAAGAAAAATTGGCACTGAGAAGTTGTTTTTGTCTAGAGAAACTATACTTTTATATACAATGGATATGCTAGAAAAGCAATTTTTGTTATTATTATTAGACGGTAAAAACGGTTACACTTTCTGCCCCACTTTATGGCCTACTTTCTGCCCTACTTTCTGCCCCACTTTCTGCCCTACTTTATGTCCCACTTTCTGCCCCACTTTCTGCCCTACTTTCTGCCCCACTTTATGCTCCACTTTCTCTCCCACTTTCTGCCCTACTTTATGCCCCACTTTATGCTCCACTTTCTGCCCCACTTTATGCCCCCACTTTATGTCGTACTTTTGGCCCTACTTTCTGCTCCACTTTCTGCTCCACTTTCTGCCTCACTTTCTGCCCCACTTTCTGCCTCACGTTCTGCCCCACTTTTTGCCCCCACTTTCTACCCCACTTTATGCCCCACTTTCTGCCCCACTTTCTGCCCCACTTTCTGCTCCACTTTCTGCTCCACTTTCTGCCTCACTTTCTGCCCCACTTTCTGCCTCACGTTCTGCCCCACTTTTTGCCCCCACTTTCTGCCCCACTTTCTGCCCCACTTTCTGCTCCACTTTCTGCTCCACTTTCTGCCCTATACTTTCTGCCCTACTTCTGCCCCACTTTTTGCCCCACTTTATGCCCCACGCTCTGCTCTATTTTCTGCTCCACTTTCTGCCCCACTTTCTACTCCACTTTCTACCCCACTTTATGCCCCACTTTCTGCCCCACTCTCTGCCCTACTTTCTGCTCCCACTTTCTGCACCCACTAGAAAAAGTTTTTGAGTGGAGCAGAAAAGTGGAGAGCAATAAACGTATCACAAGAAATTTGAATTGAAGACCAATAAACCTATCACCCCTTTAAGTCCATTCTCTAAATGTGCTAACTTTTGAAAATTACCGTAGTTTTATCAATAGGCTAATCAATCAGAATCTTTGGTATTCTTTGTGAACTTTCATTAAATCAAACCAGAAGTAGATAGATTGGACAAACCTAGGGAAAAGATTATAGTAGTTTTTGAAAGTTGACAAATTTCGAATTCATTCTACTCATAGATTGGCAATGTTTTATCGGTAAACAAGTACAAAAACAAAAAAAGTTAGGCTGGGAAACTTCCAATCGCGGAAGTGGACGTGAAGCAAGCAAAGAGTAATGAAATTTCTGCACTTGACACTTTTCTGTTTAAAGTTTCTCATTCAAAGATTTCAAAAGCTTTTCTCTAGTAGATAAGTAAGAAGTAAAAACTCGGTTTTCAGTTTTTGGCTTGAGCATCAACGTATTTCCAGAATGACATTCCAAAACAAGACCGGCAGGCAACTTTTATTGGGCAAAAAGCCACAAAAGTGATGAATATTTGAAGAGATGTTGGAGGAAAGAAACACGAAATTCGACTACATGTTTACAAGAAGTTTGCAAAAAAGAATTTTTATAGAGAATTGGAAAATGAAGAAAGCAAACTTGGTTTTTGCTTTAAAATTAGTGCTGACACACTGACGATGAGTGCGCCAAGAAGGGCGGGTTTTCAATTTCGGGCGTAAAGTACACGCAATGTGGAATTAGTTTTCCAGCTGACATAGACTAGACCAGCTAGCCCTAGACTAGACCAGCTAGCCCTAGACTAGACCAGCTAGACCTAGACTAGACCAGCTAGACCTAGACTAGACCAGCTAGCCCTACACTAGACCAGCTAGCCCTAGACTAGACCAGCTAGAATTAGACCAGCTTTATCCCAAAAGCAGTTTTCTGGATTAGGCCAGAAGATAGTTTTGCCCTTGTTTGACTAGCTTTGTCCACAAAAGTTTCTGGATTTGCCAGAAGCCATTAGCCTTTAAAGTTAGGATCGTTGTGCTCTTCATGGAGCCGCCATAAAGAAACTTTTCAACGGATTCAGTGTTTCATAAAACTTGCAATTACACTGCAAGTACACTTCGTCGAGTACACTAACGTCGGTTCTGCAAACTGCTGTTCTTTGTTCCATCACGTTAAAGACCTTCATGGTCACAAATTTCTGCAAATGAGAAAAAGCTATATGCAAATATTAGGTAAATTTTGGATCTCCTTCTCAAATGAATCAGCAGTTCATGACTTTATAAATTCTTATAGAAAAAGCAGTGCTCGTTGTGAGACAAAGTAGTTTGTTTGTGCGAAAAACGTGAAGTTTCGCATTGTTCTTTCCACCAATCTTTGCATTTTGAAGTTCATGAGTTGAAAGTTGAAACGATGAACGATTTTGAGAATTGAAAGCTTTATGAACACCGTTAAAAGTTGTAAAGGAATGCATAAAACATAAATGTTTAATGCAAAGACATCAGAAAAAGAATTTTCCAAAAAAACAAAAGAATTGGACAGCGGAGGATTGGCAAACCAGGCCAAAAACTTTATAAGTTCCACAGACTAGCACACTATCCACTAGACCACCGCTCACAAAGATAGATTCTTGCAAAGGTGCAAAGGACAATGCAAAACCGTGAGTTTTTTCTACACAAACAAACTACTTTGTTCTACAAAGAACACTGCTTTTGTTACCAGAATTAATAAAGTCATGAACTAATGATTCAGCTATGCCAGATCCTTCCAATTGCGTGGGTGTTTGCAGCTAATTTTTACAGATTCAAAATCAGCATAGCCGATTCTATAAGATGCACTCGGTCACGAAACGATTCTGAACTTTGAGCTGGTATCATTCCCTTGCTGGTACTCAATTGTGCAGTGCGTGAGAGGGTACCGATGGGGCAATTATTATTTGGATATTTATATAGCACAATCACTAATCTAGCGAGAAAATACAATAAGATAGAATCGTTGGTTCAGTGTTTCAAAGTCAAAGAAAAGCAATACAAAATGGGCTCCGTCCCCTTTTATCACACAAAGGATCTTTAGAGGAAGGGCAAGATAATCAGAGATATTCAAAATGAAAGCATCAAATAAGATTTCACAGAAAAGAGCTACTTTTCTGCACACCAATAGTAAGGCAAATAGTAAGCACGACTATCCTAACTTTAAAGGCAAATGGCAAAGGCAAATGGCTTTAAAGGCAAATGGCAAAGGCAAATGGCTTTAAAGGCAAATGGCAAAGGCAAATGGCTTTAAAGGCAAATGGCAAAGGCAAATGGCAAAGGCAACCCAGAAACTTTTGTGGGCAAAGCCAAAGATAAAAAAAAACCGCTAAACGGATTATCCTGAAAATTTGGCTATATACTTAACTTTTTGTGTGCCATCTTTTTTATTTTGTCATCAAGATAGGTTTCTTTGGAAGAAACGGTCCAAATCGCATCATCGGCCCTTGTCATTTTTGAACACTCGGCTTTTTGCTAATGAAAAAGCTTCAAAACAAAGCTTTTCACAAACTTTCAAAAGTCCTTTTCAAGAAAAATGATTGGGATATCTAATGAAAAACCGTATTTCATTTGGTAGCTGGAGACCTATTCAATTAGATGAAAGATTTAGTGCTTAACTTAATGCATAGACTGGTTACAGGCTCAGGACCTGGATTTGGATGAAAGATTTAGTGCTTTACTTAATGCATAGTTTGGTTACAGGCTCAGGACCTGGATTGAATATTGATCGCTTGAAAACCTATAAGAACTATACTAAAGCATTATACTAAAGCATTAAAGTTGAACACGTATTGGATTAAGTTAGCGTGAAAGAATTTCCAACATAGAGGCTTTTAAAAAACATAGACAAAGACCGGAAATGACCTCAATGAGTTGTGTGCACGGGTCGTTAACTCTCTTTTTGATCCTTGCCTTTTTTCGGGCACACCAAGTCCAATGATGAAGCTATTTGGGTATTTCATCATTAGCCATGATTTATTTTTAAGTCATTTTCGGCTATTCTTATCTTGAGAACAATATGAAATAAACAATATGCAAAAAAAAAAATTGGCTAATAAACGAGATGCAAGAGTTGGAGAGATCATTGAGTTTTGGCTACTTTGTACTCAAATTTCGAGTGAATTGAAAACAATTAGTGATGCTTGAATGAATCGAAATACAATTCGGCACAAATTGATCTCAAAATTATATCAAATCCATAAATAGAAATGTAAAAAAAGAAGATTGGACCTTGATTTTGACTTTGCAAGACTTTACATCCAAGGCTGGATTTACCGTTAATTTTTTGTCAATAAATTTTGAGTTAAAAAGTCAACTGCTTTCTTTTTATATTAGGTTGTTCGGATATAAACGAGCGTTACTAAACTTATTGTTGTGAGGGAAGCTTTTCAAAAATGTCTTTCTGTATTTAAAAGTACGTTATTTTGTGTATATTTGGAATCATTTTAAACGGATAATTTCTTATTTTTAAGATCTTTTTTCTTGCTTTAGATGATCGACTTCAAATATATCAAGTTCGCGTCTGCCTACTTTACGACTTAAAACTGGGATTCCGCTACAAAACAGTCGCGGAATCCCATCGAGATTTGGTCAAAGCCTTTGGGAATGATGTATAGTCCGAAAGCCGATGCCGATCCTGGTTCCAACGCTTTCGGAATGGTGATGAAAGTCTCGAGGATGATGAACACCCTCGTCGACCTCAAACGGTAGACAACGATACTTTGAGGGCTGCAATCGAATCGGATCGATGTCAAACGACGCGTGAACTTGCTCAACAGTTTCTATTGTCAAATTCTACTATTGATGAGCATCTCCACGCCATTGGAAAGACGAGCAGATACGGGAAATGACTTCCTCACGAGTTAAGCAGTGCAAACAAGGCTTCACGGGTCGCTATCGCCGGAATCCTCATCCACCACGCTAAAG